TTGCCTAAATAGTGAAAATAATATATGTTCGTTTTTATATTTTTTGTGACCACATTTTTCAGTAAATTGATATTTTAATCAATTATACTATTTAATGTTTTACATCTATTAAATATATAATGTATCACAATAAACTAGGATGAATATTTTATTAATAATAGTAAATATTTTATAATCTAATTAAAGTTTTTGAGTACATTTCTTATTTTAAATTATTATATTTTACTCCCTAGAGAAGAGATCGTACAAAATACGGGAATAAAGTCTATCATTTTTCATGGTCATGCAAATATTGCGTATATATTTTGTACCTACTTAATAAACAACATCGAATATAAGTCTCTTGATAATCGTAAAATACTTTCTATTTTAGGAACAATCAACTAATTAAGCCGAGGGTCGATTGGACATATTATAAAACACAATTATCGTCGTTATAGTCTCGTCTTTAAATTACAATCTTATTAATATTATAAACGCGAAAGTTTGGGAGTTTGGATGCTTGTTATTCTTTCACGCAAAAACTACTGAATCGATTTTGATGAATTGATGAAACTTTATAGTAATGTGGGATTGGTATGTAACGGAGCGCTTGTATTAATCGAACGATGTATGCATGAATTGGAACATGAATGACGAGCGAATGGATATATAAGTGAAGCGAAACGAATGAACGAGTGAGTTGAAAGCTAGAACGAGGAACGACGACTATTTCTTGCTGGATATCAGTGCTTTTATTGTAACATTTGAAAATTAAATTCGTAACGCGCAGAAATTTTCTTCTCTCTCTTATTTCGACTCCCCGTATCTATAGTAATATAGTTAATACATACAGTAATATACATAATACATCAGAATAACATATAGGCTATAAATTTCACACGTGTAAAACCACAGGTACAGCTAGTTATATATACTTTTAACTACGTTTCTACGAAGTATTCTTTTCAGCGCGCAAAATAGAACTCTATTATTAGTACATTAAAATTGCATTACCATTTTTTATGTACTACAACTTGAATCGCCATGTTCCTATGTTTTGTGCCACCGTTAATGAGAGGTGAATAATCCATTTCTTACAAGACAATGTGAACCTTTTATCCATATGTATGTATGTACATAATAGTCACACGGCTTACCGTGTTATATGATAATAATATGATAATTAGCTATAGTGTAATGCTATAATGATTATATATAGCATAATATATAATTATTAATATCTTTCCAAAGAACATTAAATAAGAATGATTCTTGAATAGTATGCACTATTACGACTTATAGTAACTGATAAAAAATGGATTTGTTTTTAAAATTGATTAATGACAATAAATTGTAAACTGAATACATTTCTACAGGACGTTATACGTTAATTTATTTTGAAGTAGAATTATTATTCTACTTCAAAATAAATGGGGTAACTAAAATTTTTAGTTATATTTAACTATTAATTTTAGATACCCCATCCTCGCTATTTAATACGGGCTGTCTGTCAATTGAGGAACTTTTGACTTTTTTTATAGGAGTTGAGATGAAGGGAAAGAAATGGTCGATAACTTAAACGGGAAGAATCTTTTGTCGCTTCTCAACGCGCAGTTTCATTCTCTTTTAAAAAGAAGTATAAATGTAGATGAAGTAAGTTAGGTATTATGGTAAGGAAATACAGTTTTTGTTGTCTATGTTCAGTCTAAAAATCTTTGAAATTGATATCATTGCATCATTGGGAACCAATCTCAAAAAATTCTGTCGGTCAAAAACCGACATTTTTTGAGATTTTTGAGGTTCCCGTTAAAGTGAGAAGTACCAGTGAATTACACGCTTGATACCCTGTTCATCAGGACTACCGGGAGCATAATGTAAGGATATCATCTCTGCTGTGCTGTTCATATGCTATTCGTATAGGTGACGGTTATCATTTACTAGGTAGACCGTCAGCATGTTTGCCATTTCAATAAAAAAACTAGTAAGTTAGTAACCGCTTTAGCTTCATAATAGTTAAGCTAGGTAGATACATAAATACGTACAATACTTGCGACATGTTACTCTGAAGGCAGGGATGCTAACCATACGACAATACTTAAACAGGTACAAGATTGTTGGCTTCGGTACGAGAACATTTTCATCCTCGAACAAATATGTACGAGATTTTTGCTTGTAGATATTGGTTTGCTCTGATCACTATGACTGATTTATTTTGTTACTGACGTAACTATTCATTTACTATTGTGAACATTAACTTAACTATTTGGCAGTTTGTCTTCAGACAAAATCTTAAAAGTGTAAAATCCAACAACATTTCTTAAACAAGCAACATACAAGCATCTCGCTCATTCATCTTGTGATGAGTTTGGTTTCCAAATGAGTGGTAGAATTTAAAAAAAAATACTATTCAAAATTTATTAACTTTATTTCTATTTCTAATTTAAGCTACGGATATCTCTCAGATTACAAAGCCAAATTGAGCCAATATCTATGTGTTAGTCCTTCGTACATGGCTAAAAATTCTACGATCGATCTCCCGTTTCATTTAAACGGGCATCGAAAAAATGATCAAAAAAATGTTGAACTGAAGGATATTCTTAGGAGTGATGATTTTTAACTCCTCAGAATAGACTGTATACTTTCCAAAGGAGATATTTCCTTAATTCAGTTGATGCATGAGTGGGCTACAACCACGTAAGATGTGTAATGCCGTTTCCTCTTCAGATTGGCATAATCTGCAAATTTTTAGGTTTGACCATAGTGATTTCGATATGGCAATGACATTACGGGACCCTCCGATCAATACCCTATCTAATTCATACGGGGATCAGATTACGATGGCGTGAGCCGATGTTCGAACCTCTAGCGGTGCCCTAAGACTAAAGTCGTATCCGTCAGGCAGGAGTTGGCCTTCAGCCGTTCCATAAGTCCTTCTGCGGGTTTGAAGTGCCATCTGCTGCATCAAACTGAAGTTGTAAAAGTCAGCTGCGGCCAACAGCGTTAGAGTAGTCCGGAAAAAACGGCTAAATGTTGTAAGGTTGGCAGCCCTGACTGTAGATATGTTCACACACCAGCTAAGTGACTGGTACCTAATTAGTGTTGACACTGGCATTGTTGGTATCTTGTTTTGTTCATACACGTTTTAATTGGACAATTGTGATCCAACGTTACTTTATAAATTCATTTCATTGCAGAAGTTTGTAGTTTGAAATAATTGGAATATAATTATAGATTAATTATAATTCACTACCCACTACCTGATTGTTCGGCTACTTTTGTTTGAGATAAAGGCCTTTTCGTAATAGCACATATAAGAGAATATTACAGTAATAATATAAATATTGTAATAATAATAGGGTAGTAATAGGTACAACCTAACTTCATTTACAAAAACTGGTAAATTGTGACTCAAAGTTGCGCGAGTCATCTGGTTATTAACATTCATGAATAATTTGTTGAAATAAATAGGCAATATTCATAATTAAAGTTTTCTTTCTTCATTCTTCTATATGTACACGATGTGCGTGACCACACTAGGTTGAGGCATCAGGAAATTCACGGGTATATTGCAAACTCCTGTGAATTCTCCCAGTGCCAAGACGCAGTGTGATCTTCTTGGTATCTTCTTTTCTTATCTTGAAAAATATCTTCTTGCTTAATTCTGCTTGATATCTTCTTTAAACAACAACAACGAATGAAAGTATAAATAAAATTATATTTATATATACCTTTGTTACTTGTGTGTTAGATTTGATTTGATATTGATTAGTTATAGTGGTTAATTGTATAATATATGTATGTGTATATATAGTAGATGAGAGCTTTTTTTAAATATATGATAATAGAATGGTGCCACGCCTGCGCTTTTAATGGGGGATGATATGATGAGAATGAGGTCAGATCAGTTAGCCTATTGTGATGAAATCACTCGGAATTAACCACGTGGTTTCCAGTGAGAACTGTCTGGAGGTCGACCTAACAAGGTGCCATGATGATTGCTAGTAATGGAGTCACTAGTTCCCATTACAATCCTCTACAGATCAGAGCGTAGTGGCATAGCGGTTTACGACTGGATGGATAGTGATAACGATTTGATTAATTGATTGAAGATATACATGCGTAAGCCGCCGAAAGGTGCGTTTTTGTATGCGATTTGATATTATTGTAAACTTAATTTCTTTATGTAACTTCGATAGAAACAGATAATGTTTTATATAATTATGAGCTAACCCCGTAAACGTTGTTTTGCTATATAAATTAAAAAAGATATTGGCGATAGAATACTGAAAATATAGGGTTGAATGTATTTTTAATGCCACATAATATAAGACAAACAAAAAATTTGTCTAAAAATTTTTTTAAAAATGTTAGCGGGAGACAACTCTTATCACTTAGTCTGTAAAACAGATAATAGCTGATTCTCAGACCAACTGAATATTCCGTTTCAGAGGAGTATGGTAGCTAACATTATGACACGAGAATTTTATATATAAGATTTAAAACACTGTTTAATATTGGTGAACAAATTATTTTAACATTGATGCTACAATTTTTTCTACTAAACTTCTTTATAAAACTACCATTTGTAAATGTTTCCGTTCTGTAGACATCACCGGTAGCGACGCGGTTAACCGCAAATTTCCGTATCATAACACAGTACAATATTTACTGCATTTCATAAAACTGCTCTGTACATACTATTATCTCATTTATTATAATGCCTTAAAGTTGATAATAGTTTATAGACTTTTCAAAATACTGCAATATTTTGATTTTTTTATTGTAACGGATTGAATTAAGAGTAGCAGTGACGACATGAGCCTGTACTTATTATGTATCTTTTAAAACAATTATAACTTGCAATTATTACGATGCTTGTAATATATTAAATTCTAGAAATTATTATTATTAATATAATTCCCCATAATTTGATCTCCACATTGAGGCACATAATATTACAATGTATATAGACTAGCAGTATTTCAGTTATTTACTTTTATGCCTAGAGAGAAACTTACCACATGCGTGAACAGGCTATGTCATGGATATCAGTTGCTCTGAAACAAACAAAACATTTTTTTAATTTTTTTCGATAACCGAATATCATTACATAACCCCAATTTGAATTGGGTTAACCTTTATGTATATAATTATGTGCACATATTATTGTATTATACAAAGATATCTAAAGGTAGAAATTTAGTTCATAGTCTACTAAATGCGTAGAACCATGAATAATTAATTTGAAGGATAAATAGTTAATAAATAAAAGTTCATACTGACAGACATACGACATTTAGTGATTGACACACCGTATAAATAATATAATATTATTCTATGTCTAATCGCGCTCGTTCAGTTCATAATAATCCATCCTTACTATTGCCTATAAATATTTCAAACTCACAAACCACCCACTGTCACCATCAGAATAGAACTGTAACTCTTCCACAGAAGGTTCAAATTACTGTAGCCGTGGTTTGATAATTTTGTTGTTAGCCCGTTGTCAAGGCAACCACTAATTTAAAAAAAACAAACGATACCCGGTGACTTTGATATGTCGCTAACGTGAATTAACGTAAATCTTTTCTTTTCCGTGTCATTTCCGTTAAGTGCTGGTTTTCGTTTTAAGAAATATTGTTTTTTGTAATTAACGTGCTAATAACTAGTATTAAAAACATGTTGGCGTATTTTGGACTTAATGATAGTTACTATATTTATAAAAATATCGTTATATATCACACTTTTTTGAAGAAGTACAAATTAAATCGATACAATGTACATTTGTACTTTTTCACATAATCGAGATTAATAGCTTGGGAAATTGTATCTATACTGCAATTTCACACTCTGCTTTCTTTTTCCCTTAGAGATAATTATAATAAAGTATAGTATTATTGTAAAAAATTGATTAAAAAGTTATTTGATGTTTAGTTCAAATAACACAGCTTTGCATTTCGTAGGCTATTAAAAATATAACATCGACGAATACCAAAATTTAGTCTAATTCTAAAAATTTCAAAATTTGCATATTCTTTTACACTTTTACATGATTTTTAGAACAGTAATCGTAGATGCAGAATTGCGTGAAACCTTAGTTTGTTTTTTGTATTGATAATTGCTTCTAGACTTTCGAATTTTACATCAAAAATATTTAAGATATTTTTTCATATGTAAGTACTATATAGGTCACTAAGAATTTATTTTTTATCGTTTGCCCAAAGACCATTAAAACGTTAACTTATTATTGTGCGTGTTATGAGAATTAAAAAAGTAATAATTTTACTTGAATATGGAACTGCAATAAAAAAATAAAAAATATTGTCCGAAATAAAATAGGTAATTTCATTTTAAGGCAAATATATTGTTTATAAAAAGGCTATAAACAAAAATTATTGATGTAATAAATATATCGCCTAAAACCGGTGAAATCCTTTGGTAATTGGCATTAATGTTTTTAATCTTTTATCTTAAAATAAGATTAATATTCTCGTAAACATCATTGTGTATAAACTGTACCTTCAATTTAGATATATTATTCTTCTTTAACGGGGTAATGGTAGTAAAGCTATAGTGCCATCCAAATTATAATGTAATAAATTTTTACATTACACACTAAAAAATTACTAGACTAAAATGAAAGAAACACATTCATTTTAGTTGAGTCATTTTTGTAGTTTCTCTATTATATTACAAATAATATACTAATAAATCCTTTTACAGTATTAATTTAATGGACAATTCAAACAAAGTCCTAAAGTTGTATTTTCTAACAAATCATTCCATTTTGTAAATTATACCGGTATATATAGAAAAACTGAAACCTCTTTCATAACCATTTTAGCTATAGAATTCGAAATACAATAAAGACAGCTTAAAACTGCAGACAACAGTTCAATATCTATAATAAGTAGATGTTGAATAAAAGGTTTAATGTATTAATCATTACAATGATTACATTCCTACCCATATCATAACTATATTTTAAAAATACCTAACTATAAAAACTAATAAGGGTTACAACGTAACACCTATACCATATATAGAACAATAGAAATGGGGACATTTAGGGGTCAACCCGTTTGGGTGGCATGACCCACCCTTTTATGGTGTTTACCCCTCTAAAAGGGCGGGTTTCCGTGATTTTTGACACGCAAACCAACCTTTAGCGCACGTAAATGGCACCTACCTATGTAGAACTGAAACTTCCATTCACTTGAAGTGATTAATGTTAACATTTTAATCAGCGATTGGGTTTATATACCTATTATTATGTAAGGTGCCATGAAATTGAAAATACTGAATCAGCTTTCAGGAAGTTAGATTTCTTTTGTTAAAAACCTCTTTTCAAAACACTTTCTTTATAAATTAGAGAATTTTTAAATGATAATAATGTTTTTGTAGAAAAAATCTATCTTAAATTCATAGCGTTGATAATGTTATCTGATTGAACAAAGATTGAGTGCGTAGCGATTTCTATGTTTGATTATCGCAGGCCTAATCCTTGTTAAATGAATTTTCTTAGAACAACATTTATTTAAAAGAGCAACACCCACGTTCTTCTTGTGATGAGCCTGGGTTCCGAATGAGTGGTAGAATAAAAACATGTGACTATTCCAAAGTGCTTATATTAAGTATATTTGGATAAAGATTATTCTACTTAATAATTATAGTTTATTTTCTTATGACTTAGTTGAACGATTATTACTAAAACATTTTTTACATAAACAAAAAGGTGATAATATTTATTTTCTACAATTATTGTAAAGCAGTAATTAATATAACTAGATAGACTACAATTTTACAAAATCGCAATCAGTTCTAATTTCGCTAACACATAGCAACAGTTTGATTATATCCGTATAAAAGGCAAACACACGTAAAAAGACAATTAATATAAGTCATGCACGTAAATTAAAAGTGTACAATATAAATTTAAAATTATGACATTAATCCTAGCATTTCCCAGCTGGTGTTCCCAGGTCGATTTCTCACCCTACCCTACCCTAGCTAATTATATAATTAACCCCACCGGTCGCTAGCTGGCGACGTGACCGTTGGATATCAAACAACGATCTTATTTGATTATGTGTGGGAAAATACATCCAATTGAAACGGTGACTAATAACTATTTTTTATGTGACTATAATGGCAAATAAGTTCGCCGTCCACCGGATGGTAAGTGGTAACTTGAATGGTACCACCGATATTACAAAGTGCATAGCAGTTTCAGATGACTGTTGAAAAAGGTTTTTTAAAAACCGATTGTTAGTTTCAGAGATAAACTGTCGTTCTACAGAAAATACTTTTCTGTATTAGCCGTTCGTGTGTAGAACTCACTTCTATCCTCTATTTGTTGCACACCATCACTACTCGTTTTAAGAACTCTGTTAAATGTCACTAGTAACCTATTCTTATTCTGTCATCCTTCATTCCGCTTAGTTTGTTCCATATTGCGTGTTACATAATTACTTCGATCTCAATACTTTTATGTATTATATATAATGTGTATGTATGCATTTGTTTGTATTAATATATTTAATGTATTGGATAAATACTCATTTATTGATATCATACTTAAGTTAAGCGAGCTGTACAAATTCTCAATATGCGCACTTATACAAAAATATTGATAATTTAAAGAAAATACAACAATTAAAATAAGAACAACTTAAAAAATTACATAAGTCCATTGTTGCGCTACCTACCACTTTCTGTCTTCTCTCCTCTACCCAAAGGCTACCTGGAAGAGCTTATTACGCTACAAGACCAAATTTTATACCATATTACACGTATTTATGTTTATTATACATTACTTCTGGTCGAATAAAAAGTGAATAAATATTTTCAACGGCATATAAACTTACATATAAACACATCAAGAAGCGACCCTGCAAAGGTCACAAAAGAAAGCGATTAATTTACAAACCAGATGGAATAAGACCTCTGTTTAATTATTAAAATTTAACAGATGCATATTTTAACTTCAGGAGTAGTCAAATAACAGTCCAGTTATATTTTCACCTGTTTGCACCTACATGCTGGAAATAACTATCATCTGCTCTTAAGTAACGTTGTAACCTTTGGGTACATATAACTAGTTCAATAATATCACATTTTTGACAGGCAGATGGTTTAAATTTTGTACAACATTCATGGGTATTGATCAAGGTAGTATCAATAATAAATTAGTTATCAGTTGTAAAGATGAGAGTAATATAAACATGAAAAAAATCATAGACATCACTCTATGTCCATATTTTCTTCTATTCTACAAGTTCATATTCAATTCCAAAATCATTTATTCATGTAGGACATTTTAGCCGCTTATGAACGTTCAATTTCTTATATTATAATTTTTTTCCTATCATCCAGTTCAGTATATATATCCAATTGAGAAGAACTGGCAAGAAACTCAATTGAATGACTCATATATTTTTTTAAAAACCAGAATCTTTACAATGTATATTTATATAGGTGTCTATATCTAACATTAAATGAAAATCCCGTGCATGATCAACTATTGCCATGCACACTCATCATTCAAGTAATCGTATAGTGAGTAATAAGCTTTGATCAGTAAAAAATATTTAACAGATGTTTTTAATATATTTAAGGGTAATTCCAGTATATCCTTTGGTATCGTATTGTAATTAGTAGTAATAAATAGTCATAAGAAAATAAAGTATAATTATTAAAATAGAGATAGATATAATCTTTATTATAGATGTCCATGATTCATGATTTTTATGTTTATATATGCGATATGCGACTTCACCACTTTCCATCAGGTGGGCGTGTTTTCCAAAACAAAACAACTTAAATTATTACTGTACAAAATTCTTAGCTAATTTTATAACCCGCATAAGTGTGTGTATATTGTTATTTTGTGGACATTAATTTTATACCAGATTTTATTGATTGCAAAATAATTTATGTTCTCAAAGTTTTACACCCAAACATTAAGATTGAGATCATAAAATCTTTAAAAGTGGCTTGTTATAATGCAAATAAATATTGATTATATTACTACCGAAATTGTTGGTACAGTTTTATT